GAGAGAGAGAGAGAGAGAGAGAGAGAGAGAGAGAGAGAGAGAGAGAGAGAGAGAGAGAGAGAGAGACTAAATAGCAAAAGTGAAATATGGGTCAAATTGCAGCCGCAATCTATTTTGCAGTCGGAATATTTTTTTTAAATTTATTTAGCGTTTTTCCTGGAAATATCACAACAAAAGGTTTTCTCACTCATTCTTCTGAGCGTGAAAACTCACTGAATTTGGAGTACTTTTTTAGTTGGCCCAGGGGTCAAGTCCCCCTAGCCAAGAGTTACGCTTCGAGGTTGGGCTTTCAACGACATGCGGCCCAGGGTGACTCACGTGAGCCCCTGATTCCAGTGGAGATCGAGCGCAGTCGTTTTTTTGTACAACCTGGCGTTCATGATTTCAACAACGTCAAGTACCATCTTTTATAAATGTTTTATTGTTGTTTTGGTTGGTCACATTCGTTGGGCGGGAAACTTCAATTTTATGTTTTTTTGACCCAGGGGGTGTTTTTGAAGCTTCCCGCCCAAGTTTTTTCGAGGCGAAAGTCAAAGCAAAAAGTTGGGAACATCCTGTTTCCAACGACGTTTGTATGCAGAGCCCGTCGGACATGCCCCCGAAAACGGTGTTAGGTTGTCCGTTGTGTGGGGTTGAATCTGAGGTACACCGCAGTGTAAGTTCATAGGAGGTGCGAGAATTTGGTCTACCCCCGTTTCTATGTGTAGCCGCCACTGTCCTCCGAAAAAACGTAGGCAAGCGGGCAAACTTTCCTGATACGGAAAGTTTGCATGTGGAAACGGGCCAAGAACGAAAAGAGAGCACCTCCACCCTTCCTAACCATCTGCACGATTCATCCGACGGTTCGAAGAGTCGGGTGGCACGAAAGCAGTCCCTTTCCGCCCTCCTTCTGTCGGGCATGGCCTTCATGCAGTGAGTCCCCATGAGCCTCTATCTCTCTCTGTTTTTGTTATCGCATGCATTCTGTTTTCCTCCGTCTCCGAGGCAGCAAAACGGACGTTTGTTTCATCCTCCCTCGTTCAGCACATCGTCCTTGTAGGTTGAAGAAGACGCCCTCAGTGTCCATGGCCAACCACAGCCAAAACCCTAGTCTGTCTGCAATCGACGACTGGGGATACTCCGAGTCCCAGGGTTTTGGCCCGTGCGGACCGGATGGTGGGCCACTGCCGTCGACGCAGGTCTCGGGGCAAACCATCCTACGCAAAGGTGTGAGTGGTACGCAGTCCGGTGTGTCGGTGCTTGGCGGTGGGTCCCAGTCCCCATACCCGCCAGAACACAGTGTAGGGGCACTGACCCCTTCATCGGGCTTTCAAGAACTGCAGCGACCATGTCAGTCTCCTGGGTTCCACTGCTCGCCCGAAGCAGCGGGGGGGGTTGGGGTCCACGGCCCGTCCTTGTGGCAGGTCACGGACGGTGCGGGCGGCAGCCTCCGACCTTCCAATGTTGTGAAAGGTGGTCCACCTCTACCATCGCCTGTGACTCCTGTTCGCGGGTTTAGAATCGGGGTGGGAGGTAAGGATGAGAACACTCTCAGGCAGCGTCTGAGACTGCGTGCAATGCGAATTGCAGAGGGGATGGCTGTGGACATGAACGAAGGGACGTCGGGAGGGTGTCACGGCCCTGGTCCTCGGGTTGTCGGCATCGGGCATGACACTCCCGGTGCCTCGGGCACTACGTCTGGAGGGAGTGACATGCAGGAATGTAATGAACGAAGTCCTGCCGCGTCATTGTCTCCGTTTGGGCATGAGGGCGATGCTGTGTGGAGGCGCACTTCCCCGGACGACGGTGTGACGCAACCACGATCTGATGGTCCTTCAACGCAATCGAATTACCTGTTGAACCGCATTATCCGCAAAAATCCTTCATATTTATAAATTATCATTCCAATGTTCGTCCATTTCTAAAATTTCCAGTTTTATTTGATAAGTTCCTGTCTAAATATGAGTTTTCTCTTCCAACTACATCTATTTGTTCAAGATGGAATGAAAGTCTGGATGAGTTTACGAAATGTCTTAATTAAACTTTCATTCTACTGTAACAAACACCTTCTAATTTAGATTGGATTAACCCATTTGTGACTGAAAATCCTTACATAGAATGACAGTCCAATTAAAATATTTCATGAACTCATCCAGACTTTCATTCCATCTCTAGCATGCAGTTCAAATAAGAAGGGATACCCCATTCTTGGAATGAAAGTTTTCAAGTAAGACAGGAAATTCTAAAATTGGAATGACATTTTTCAAGATGAAATGAAAATTTAGAATTTAGAATGTAATTTTACTATAGAATGATTATTTAGTTTTGGGAAATTTTTCTGTTGTGTTAACGAAAACGACTGTGGAGGTGTTGCGGCCGAGCCACAATCAGGCCCACAGCAGACACCTCCCCCTTGCCCCCCGAATGCAGCCCCGGGCACCGGCACACTGTCTCCTCTGTCGAGCGGCAGCGGGTCCCGGGCAGTGCCACCGACAGAGCAGTCGGGGGATGGAACTTCCACGGGTCTACCGCCACGCTCGGGCTCACCTCCGACAAACACGGAGAGGTGGGGGGACACCAACCGATTGGGTATGTCGGTTTCGGAACGAGGTTAAGGTGCTCATGGGTGAAGAGACCGAGCAGTACGGTCGCGCAAGGCTGAAAGCGGGATTCTGGAAGATCGTGGAGCAGCGCATGCGAGATAAGGGTTACAACCACAAAGACGACCAGTGTAAAAATAAGTTCAGCCAGATCTTGGAGTACTACAGGAAGTTGAAGGCGCACGAGAGGCGGTCTGGTCGACAGAGCTATTGGGACATGAATAAAGCTCGGAGGAAGAGGTACAACGTTGATTTTGTGCTTAAGCGGAGTTGGTACGACATCATCGACCTAGTAGAGAAGAACAAGGACTCCATTGATCTCTCCAATTTGATGGACTCGGGTGCGGACAAGGAGCGGCTGGAAGATGAGGAACAGACACATATTGGGGTGGGGGAGGGGGGGGTTGGGGATGAGGAGGCGGCAACAGGTTTTGGAGGGTCGACAGGCGGGTCCCAAGGCACAGGTTTTGAGCCAACGCTTGGGAAACGAAAACGGGGTTACGTGAGTGCGCGTGAATCGGGTGTGAAGTCTGTGACGGCTGCTATGCGTGCTCATACAGCGACATTCACACGTTCTGACAAGGAGTGCGTGCTGATGAGGATAGAAGCGACACGTGTTATTGCCACGCAACAGGTGGAGGCTCGTCGGGAGCTGATGTTGGAGGACATTGCGTCTCGCGAAAGGGTTGTCGACAGGATGGGGGAGAGGGTGGAAAGGGGTTACTCAGTTCTTGCTGATGCCATTCGCAGCTTGCGTAGCAGTAGAGGAAGCCGATCGGGATCACCGAGTACCAGTGATTCCCGATAGTGTCCCTTATCCGCATGCATCGATTACAACAGACAACTTTGTTGTAAACCATGCATTTTGCGAGCCACGCATGTGTTTACCAAGGTCTTAGGTCGGTGAACAATAACGGTGTTATTTATTGGGTAACTTAAAAAAAATGTTGTTTTTGGTAGTTTCATAGCAAAAAGATTGGCGGGAACCAAGTCGTTTTGCAAAAGTGCATCTTTCGTTGCAGCTTTCGAGGTCCCCGTAGTTTCACAGCAAAACAATTTGCCGGTGTAGTCCCAGTTTCCTTTCAAAAATGGATCTTTTCGAGCGTCTAACATTTGTGTTTTCAAAATTGGATATATATATATATATTTTTTTTCTCTCTCTCTCTCTCTCTCTCTCTCTCTCTCTCTCTCTCTCTCTCTCTCTCTCTCTC